TGAAGACACTGCGCGGTCTGTTGCGTGAGATCGTGCGGGCCCTCCGACACGAGCACATGTCGTTCGTGACGTTCACGCAGTATCTCATCGACGAGGGGCCGGCCTTTGCCGACTTGGATCCGGCGGACTTCGCCATTAGGGAGCGAGCGGTGGTCTCTATCACCGATTTGATGACAATGATTATGTTTCTGAGTCTGAGTCCGGCCGTGAAGGAGGCCGTGTCTACCATTAAGCCCGACCGCAGAGGTATTGCCATTTAGCGGTCATTAATTTACGTGTTTTAAACGAAATATTGTCTTATTTTTGCAGAGATTTTACGCAACTATCAGTTGCAGAACTCAAACATACAACGAATAGCCGTCTATTGGCTACAGAAGGCTGTCATTAAACAGTACCGACCGGACCGTAGCGAATACCTGCACTGGTATGTCGGCGCCATTAATGGCCGCAACCAATCATCCGTTCAATGCATTTATTAATTGATTAAATGAATTGATTTTACAGTTTAAATAAAGTACTATTTATGGAAAGCGCTGAACACTATTACAGCCGCGACGGGTGGCCGCCGGAGAACGACCGGAATCTCATGTTCCGAATGACATCCGAAGTGCCACTACTGGAGGAGACACTCGTGCGGGTGCTGTCGATGGGCTCATCCAAAGACAATCCGTTGACGTCGGCCGAAGCGGTGGAACTGTCGGACGCGTTGATCAAACGCGCGGCCACTATCATGGAGTACGACTCGATCGCACACCCGGTGCTCATGATTCGCGACAAAGATATCTTTCGGCTACTGATGATGAACGCCATATACCGCCATCCGGACAACATATCGCTTCCCGCCGGTTACGATCCGCCCAATATGGCCATCGGAGACCTCTACTGGAAAGTGTGGATCCAGTTGTTGATACTGACGGCGCATAACCCGTCGCAGTTCGGTCTACTGGCGTGGGATAACTACCCGACACTCGGCGTACTCATCGAGATGTCAATCACTAATCACTTCGAGTTCCCGCCGCCGACCAAAATGGGCGACGATTTGGTGAACCGTGAGCTCCAGATCAGCGCATACGAGAAGCAACAGATCCTGCAGTTTGAGTCATATCTGGCCGCGGCTTCGACCAAAGTGCAGATCAATGAGACCAATAGTCTGCTGCTGTCCAAACTGATCTCAATGGATCCGCTCGGGCCGGCCCGCAAACCGCCGGCCGCCGTACTCGAGCAGTTCAAACAGCTAAACACAG